TAATCTATCTAAACACATTCAATGGAATTACATTCCCATATTTATATAAGAGAGTAAAATTTAGATTAAAATATATAATAGCAAAAAGTTGAATATCAAGCAGTACCAGATTTCTATTCAAAATAAGTATTGCTCTATTAAAGAACAGTGCCAAATACAGTGACTCAATTGTGAGAATATATAATTGAACATTATTAAAATATTAGTGATAACTAAATATTCAATTATCTTATTCTCAATGGATTAATCTAAATAATAAAAATATTATTTATAAGATCATGGTATAAATCATACTCAAACAAATAACAAAAATCCTTTTTCTATGGCTTTTTTGTACTATTCACTTTAAAGTTGATTTTTTGACAATTTTTTGGCATAATGAAGTGGTGCTGGTAAATAAGTGGTAGAACTCAAATCAAAATTTAAGAAAATCAAATGATAGTATAATTATGCTATTTCTTTTGTATTGGCTGAACTAATATTTAATTATTATGCTTATAAACATCCTTATTCTCCTCTTTAAGAATGGAATGAAAATCTACCTTATTTTTCATTGATAGGAATTATACAACCTACTTAAGGGTTTTTACAATAATAAGATTCACTAGAATAAGATAATATATATTTACAAATTCCTTTCAAAATAAGTGAAATATCTTTCTGCTATAGCATCTTTTACTTATACCATAATAATTTCAGGTTTTAAGATTTATTATGCTAATCCTTAATCTCTTATTAATTAAATTACTCCTTGTATTCTTTATTCCATAATTTGTGTATAATCATCTTCTGCAAATACAATGATTTAATTTGCTAATATTTTATGTGTGGCATAATAAGTTGCTAAAAGAAGTGTAAGAATTTAATCTAAATCTCCAAAAGAGGATATATATTTATTGAGATATTTATTAATACTTAGACATGCAGAAAAAGAATTATCGGTTTTCCAAATACCTAAGACAGCACTCCTTTTATTATTAATTAATCCATTAATTTCTTTAATAGACCAAGGTACACTACCAAGATTAGAAGTCATCATTGCTAATAATCTATTAATCTCTTAATCTTAAATAGGAAGGATAATAATTTAATTAGGAATAGCTTTTTATAATAAAGTTATTCTTGCTTATACAAAATCTGTATTTGAATCTCCAACAAAAAGTACATAAGCATCTTCAGTAACATATTTTTCTATAATTTCATTCAAATTATTATTTATATCATAAATTTAAGGTTATGATATTTTATATTATCTAGATTTAATAAAAACATCAAATTTTTCTAAAAATTATTTAAAATTATCTCTAAGTTCAATTATTTCTCTAGTTACTAAAATCATTAATTTATTAATAGTCATAGATGTTGTAAATGTAGTTGGATTTTTAAGAAAAAAATCACTATAATAATATTCAAATTCACTTGATGTTCTAGATGCTACAATTTAATATATTGATTTAGTTGAATTATTTAATACTAAATTTCCAGGTTCTAAATATTATTATTTGAATTCAACTTATTCATTTCTAATTATAAATTTATATTAATTTAAGAATTAAATAAAAGATGTACTATTATTAATAATTTTATTCCAATATTCTAATTATTAACAATAAATAGTAACATCTTATTCAATATAATCTATTTTCAATTCACAAAATTCTGCAATTAAGAATTATTTCTTTATATTTTATGTATTATATGTTTCTAAATATACATTTGATTTGCTTCTTAATTAATATTTCTATTTAAAGTAGTCTTCTAAACATAAACCTTTATATGTGAACTCTTAATCAAACACAACTGATTTAATTTAAACAATCATTTTTTTTTCAGGATATCTCAATAAAACATATTTATTCTTAAAATATGTAGATGGATCAATATTATTTAAACTTTTAATAATTTGATAACAATTATGCATAGTAAAATAGGATTTACGAACATCCATTAATATTGATGGTTATTCTCTATCCATCAATTAAAATCTTAGAGATGGATATGATTTCAATTGATTTACATATTGTAATTCAAACATATTAATTATACCCAAATCTGATAATTTTGAATATTCTAATAGATTCATTGCTTCTTTAATAATGGCCATTATTATGTCTCCTCTTTCAGATCTATTAATTTTATATTCTGGCAATTCCAATTTTTTTGGACTAATAATCAATCCATCCTTAAAGCTAATGGTATTTGTAGTCTTATTGCCATAATAGATATAAATTTCATCCAAAAATTCAGTCTCATAAATATTTGACCCCACAACTATTGTACCACTCATTTTATTTATATATTTTCAATTACATTTAATAACTAATCAACTAATGGTCTCTTCTCTATCTCTTGTTGCCAACACCATCTTATTATATCATCCATCAAAGATTTAGATTCAATCTTAGGTCTTACAGCTTTATTAAGACATTCCTAAATATTTTATAGTTATAATCCTTCAAAAGGTATTTTCTTTTCAAACATCTCATACATTATCATTCCAACACTGTAAATGTCTCCTTCTTAAGATCCACTTACAACTAAACCTTTTTGTTAAATTAATTCTGGAGCTGTAAATCCTGATTTATTTGTGTAAAAATGCAATAAAGATTAATATTTCTTTATTCCAAATAGACCAAAATCAACTAGATATATAAATATATTATATTTACTAATTTTAACTAAACCATTTGATTTAATCATTATATTTTCTGTTGTTAAACTTCCATGACAAAGACCTTATTTGTGTAAATAACTAAGTCCATTTAAAAGTTAAATTAAAATCTTAATCTTTTCTTAAATAGATATCTAATATTAGATTAAATAAGTATGTAATGAATATTAATAAAATTTAATTAAAAATACTACCTTATTATCAACTATATTAAATCCATTAATATGATAAAGATGTTAATGATTTAATTAATTTACTTATTATATTTCCTATTTTATTTATTCAATCAAATAAGATTACAATTATTTAAATTCAATTACTCTCATCCCATAATTTTTTTATTATATTTAACATACAATTATATATCCTAATCCATTTGATTTTTATCGCTTTATTTATTAATTAATATTTTATTTGATAATCTAATTGTAATCAAATTAAATTAATGTTCTTTCCATTCCTGAACTCTTCTAATTTTTTAGTAATTATTAATCCATTGGATGATCTGAAACTGTACTCATTGTAACATTTTTATTTCCCCAAAATATTGTAAATGTTTATTATCTTAATGCCAATATAAATGGAAATATGTTAGTCAATAAAAGATCAATTATAAGTATTGATATATACAATAATAATTAATTTTGACTCAATTATTATGAAAAGAATTTCTCTATTCTATCTTAATTTTCCATTAATAGAAAATTACTTATTATTTGAACAATTCTAAGAATTGTCCAATATAATATTAATTTTTATAATCTATTTGAATTATTTTCTTATTTTGATGATTTAAATGGTGATCCAGAATATTTATATTGTAAATATAGAGATGTTATTATAAATTAAACAGGTATAGATACATTAATACCAATATTTATATAAAATAATACCTTTGCATCTATATAATCAAAATTATATAACAACACAACAATTAATTAAGCAATTCCATATACAAAAAAAATGTCTTTCATTACATGAATTAACATATTTGGATTATATGGAAGTTCATCTAATTATCCAATATGCAAATGTGAATCATAATGCAAACATACTACTGTCCAAAATAATGATTAATAAACTATCCAAAATAATCCATCAGGTACATATATTGTATTTAACAGCTATTTTTCAATGCTCAAAATATACTCTTCTGTAGTTTGTTATTAAAAAATCTATTTTACATTTGTAAATGTACATCATATAAGTACAAAGCCATATTCAACATATATGCCAAACAAGAAAATACAATAGATAAATAAAAAATTTTTCCCAAGTATTTTGTTTTCTTTCCCATTTTACAATATCTGATTCCACCAAAAAAAAATATAGTTGTATAAATCATACCCAAAACTAAAAAAGCTATTCCTAAAACGAATTCACTTTAACTATTTTATGCATATCTCATTAATAATATTATTTTAATTATAAATAATAATCAAGAAAATATAATATCATTGATAATATCCTACATATATAATCAATTATATCCATATATTCTTATTTATTTAAATATATAGAAAATGTTTTTAAATTATATTAATTGTTAAACTCCAAAATGAATTATTATAAAATTATCTATATATATATTTATTTATAATAATTATCAAAGTATTATAACGAGTATTTTCAATTATTATTTTTAATATTAATATATTGATATGTCAAAATTGTAAAGATGTGCAACAGCAGGAGCCCTTGAGGCTAAAATGACACATTATGCTCCAGATGGAACTGGTATTATTATTAAAAAATATAATAAGGTAGGGATTCTTATGTTACCTTATAAAATGGAGGAATTTGGAAAGAAATTTAAATTTAGTGTGTACATCCTGAATTAGGAACCTTTAGTAAATAAAAACAATGGAGACCTCCTGCTCCAATGATGGTACCAAAATTTAGACATTATTAAAGTGATGGATCAGGAAGAGATAATTATGTAATGTAATTTTTTCATTTCATATATTCTAGTGCTGATGAAGGAGGATTAGCTCCATCATCTAAAAAATTTCAAAGAAGGACTAATTTCTTCACATCTTTAAGAGATTATGAACCTTGTCCTCCAATACCTTAATAGGATTGTTTTAGATTGGCTTAAACTCCAAGTGCATAATCTTTTAAATAATTCTTAAAAACTCAATAATTAGCAACTTAATAAAGTGATATGATACGAAGATTAAATGTTCCAAAGAAATCTGAAGATCCATATAAAAGAATAAGAAAGCTTTCAGCTCCATTTTATAGAAAATGATTAATTGTTATAGGCTAAATATATATATAAATAGATATTGTTATAAAATACTATGTGGATAAGACAAATAATTATTGATCATATAAAAAGATAATAATTCAGTTAATTTCCATTTAAAAAATAAATTGGTATCTCTTTTCTCTAATCATAATCCTGGTCAATCTGAAAATTATATTATTTAAATCCACCTTACAATAAATCAAATTTATTAACATTCATTTCAATTTTAAATACATTTTTTATAACATTTAATATTGGTTATTTTATTCTACAGTAAAAAAATTAAAATATTGAAATTGATGAATTTTCATATGCAATTCTATTTTATCCTTATCTCATATTGCAACTAGTATATTTCCTAATAATTTTTCCTGATTGTTATAATCTAATATAAACAAATTTCATCTTATAACCACAACTTTATATCACCAAAAAATTCTTATAATTAATTTAATTGGTTATCTCGAAATCATGATTCATCCATCTTCTCAATACTCTCTTATTTTATACATTCAGAAGATATTAATAAAGACCACAACTATACATTGCATAATTTAAACCTAGCATATGTAGATAGTCAACTTCATTCTATATCTGTAATGTATGTTAGAATTCATTTTTTGGAGAATAGACCATAATACTATTATTAGATAACTGTAGACTAATATTATTATCTGTATCAATTGATATTAAGCGTTCACTTTTCAATTTTATTATCTATATTTTATGTATTTCTTAAACATTGATTATACTCAAACTTTCTGTATCCAAAATAACAAATAAACTTGAATCAAAACTAAATTAATAAGAGATAAGAGAGCTATCCACCTTCCAAGATTTTGAATATAATTCTTTTCCAGTTATTACATTATATAATTAAATAATAGGAAATCCTTCTTTCTCTTTAAGTATAGGATTAATTTATAATCTGATTGCTACTAAATATTGATTTGGTGAGATAAGACTATCATTAACTCTGACTGAATAATTTTTTATTTAAGGTGTATTTATTGGATGCTTATGAGCAGACACTTATTTATTTGTAAATAGATTTATATCAGTAAATGCTGTAATTTACATTAATTATTGATTTTTAAATAATGTTATTTTCATTCATATGAAAATTATTTTGATATGATATTATGCATTCTTATATTACTTTATTAAACAATTGAGTTTCATATATAAAATACACATTTAGTTATTATTTCTATCAAAATTACAAGATTAATAATAATAATAATAATACTCAATGAATTTTGATCTTTAATTTAAACCATTAATCTTCATTATTTTGACAAATAAATCATTAATCCTGATTTTAAAGATATATATTAAAAGATAAGACCCTTAAATTAAAATTTTAAACTATAATAATATTAGATTGCTAAAATTCAAAATCTTTAAATTTATATGAAAAATTAATATAATATTATCTCATTATTCATTCTAATTTGCAATCAAATTTTATCCTGTCAAAAATTGAAAAAAATATAGTATTCTTTTTATTGTAATTAAATTTTATTTTGCAATCATTTGTAATTAAGATTCTAATTATGTTGCACATTATTTTTAATATTTGTTAAGAAATTGTTTTTTTATAATAATAATAATAATAATATAATTAATGGAGAGGATAGATAGTTTTGAGGGGAAGGTATTTTACAAAATTTATATGCTTTGTAAGAAAAATTAGATAAATGAAGATTAAAAAGGAAAATTAAAAGGTATCTGCTCTTATTGAACTAGACCTTGTTATATTAAAGGATGAAAGAATTGAAATTGCAATGAATTAATTTCTTGAAGACAGAGATGAATTTCGACTCTTAGAAAATTTTCATAATTATTCTTGTGAAGATTATTCTCCATAAAGCCTTAAGAATTTTTCAGATGATATCTCAATAGGAAGTCATAGTAAATTTAAAGGCAAAAGACCTGCTAAAATGTTATTACCAAAAAAGAAATTTATGATCAATTTAAGAAAGTATGATGTCAAAAATTATATAAAAGAGATACAGATATTACAACTAGTTCCAAAGGGTATCATTTAAGTACTGCTAGATCAAGTGATAATCGAAATACACTTACCTTTAATGAAAGATTTGCTTAATAGAACTGGAGTGAATGTGAATGATAATAAATTATTATGTATTATTATAAACTAACTTTAATTGAGTTTAAGAAGAAAAAAGGAAATTCAATCTAATATAAAATTTCTTAAAATTATCTACATATATATTATTATTAAGGATGTTCTGAAAATAACATTCATTATAATCTATTAATTATTAACCATTCAATTAATCTCTTAAAAATTTTGATAACTTTAAATTAATAATTAAATCAATTGAAAACCATATCTATCTTCCCATAAAAATGGAGGATATGAATAGATTTTAAGATAATTTACATTATTAAAATAGAAAGCTTTTAAACATAATTTTTTTACATATATCAAAAATGATTTATAATATATACAACATTTTATTTACATCATTCATCTTTTTATTATGAAAAATTCTCTAAATTAAATTAAGATATTTTAATCTTATATTTTAATTTTTTTATTTTTAGATAATAAAATCATAAATGAGCAATTTATTTTAATTAGCTCTTACTTTATTATTTTTTTTCTATAAATTAAATCTGTTATATCTATTCAAATTAGATCATTAAAATTATTTCATTCTTTTCTTATGAATTAATCAATATAACAATTATCGAAATGCAACAGCAATCAGTACTTTAAGTACAAAAGATGATAATTTAAATTAAATAAATTTTATTCATTGATTCTATATTAAAAATATAAACAGCAACATTTGAAAATAACTAAAATAATGATTCATTATTTCTTGCCTTTAATCCATTAACCCTCTGTGACATTACCATTAGAATCAATAAGTTTTCCTTTACCATGTTGTTTTCCATTCTTCCATTCTCCTATATATTTTTACCCATTAGACCATGTCATTTCACCTAAGCCTTCTTTTTTGTCATTTTTGAATTAGCCTTAAAATACATAAAAGAATTGTACCTTAATAATGTTTTCCATCATCAATTAATACACCTTATCCTTCCATTCTTCCTTCAACCCATTATCCTTTGAAGAGTCTGCCTCCATACCATTAATATTCTCCATAGCCATGAAATTTTTCATTCTAAAATTCTCCATCATAATATGATGAATCATTCCATTTAAATATTCCTTTTCCATTCTTTTTCCCATCTTCAAAAATTCCTTCAAAATAATCTCCATTTTTCCACTATATTTTGCCTTTTCCATGCTAGATTTAAAGGATAATATACAGGAAGACCAGTTTTCAATTCACCATCATAAATTCCTCCATCAGGATAGATAAATGGAGTATTAATGCAACAACCCATAATTCAAATAAAATAATCAATAAATTTGTACTTAATCAGTTTATTTTCATTTATTTACACGTTCTGAATTTACTTGACTTGAAGCTTCTAAAATCTGAAGTATTAAATCATTTAATTACTATTTTTGGTTAATTAAGATAATTGCCAGTTAGAATACCAAAAATTGTCAAAATAAATTATCATTTTATTTAAAACTAAAAAATTTATTCATTCTAAAAACAACAAAATAATCAATTTTTGTTAATTCAATTATGAATTATTCTAATTAATTACTTTTTTCCATAATCCCATAATTACAATTAAAGTTAGATAGTTAATAAAAAAATTACTTAATTTTTTTTTAAATGAAGTAAAAAAGATTATTAATGATTTTCAGAAATCAATAATTCCTTTTTTTTTATCTTCTTTTGATATTAATTTGATTTAAAAAGTAAGATATTAATGATTAATATTATTAATATTATCTTATCAAAAATTAAATCATAAGTCTATAATAAATTATCAATTTCTAAGTTTGTTTAAAATAATTCTTTTTACCATTATTATAATAATGAGAATTTCATTAGCTATTTATTTGAAACATGATTAATTACTAAATTTATAAAATAATGATTAATATGAAAATTAAATGATTCTAGAATAACGTTAGTCTTATTGTCTAATACTGAAGATTTTATCATATAGAAGATTAATTAAATTTCAAAAATATATTGATAATCATTTAATACCTTTTTAATCTATTTATTTATTTCAATTTCAGTTATTGTAGTGGAATGTAGAGCATTATAATTGTATAATTATTCACATAGAATATATATAGAAATATGTATATTTATATGGAGACACTCATATATTAATTGATTTTAGTAAAGACTCTTAAATTTAAGAGGTTTTTTCTTTAGTTTTAGAATAACCTTAGAATGTTCAGTTAGTTTAGATTTAATTAAGAATATGCAAGCACTAAATTTGTAAATAATGTCCCATTTTAATAATTATTATTATGGATAACAAATATATAGAAGAATTTGAGCATTTAGATTAAGATTAGAAAAGCCAAATGTTAAAGAACATGAAATAATTCATATCTCAATTATAGTTATAGATTTAAGATCTTGAGAAGAGTGCTATAGATATAATAATGGAGAAGGATGAAAAAATATAATAGTTAGAAGCCATGATTCAAGCAAATCATGGATCTAGACAATATAATAAAGATGATGAAATTATGCAACTAAAAAAGTAAATAATGTGTATTAACATAGTCATATCAATGAATTAAATTAAAGGATTGACGCAATCTAGATGAAACATTTTGAGTAATTATAAGAATAGGAAAGAAAGTGGAATACATACTTGTTAGATTAAATTTAATTAAGTAGTAATGATGGACAACAAGAAAAAATAGAAATGTTAGAAACTTTACATTATTTAGAAGAGAAAGTTTACTCACTTGATAGAGAAGTATAAAATTTTGATATTCTAGTTGGAAATGAAAGAGAATTAATAGATGTTTGATAGGAACACAATTAATTAGTTGACAAATATTAATTAATAGTTATTAGATGAAAGTTAAGAACTAAACTAACAATTAATAAAAATGTAGAGATAAATGGATTTAATGAAGGAACATTTTTAATAGGAGAAAAATAGTTTAGAAATGAAAATGAATGTATAAATTACAAATTATAAAAGAAATAAAATATCCAAATAGCTTAAATATCAAAATAGGCATCTGCACTAAAACTTTAAAATAATAAATTAACATAAAATAATAAAGAACTATTAAATTAAATAAATGAATTGAAAGATTAATTGGAAACACATAATGAAAGTAAAGATAAAGTTCATTCTGAGAATTATTAATTATAATAGACAGCTCATTCAACTGATTAAAATTTAAGAGAAGATATAAATATAACAGCCTTTTAATTATTAGAAGATAGTTATGAAGATAAAGATGCTACAATTATTTTAAGAAAAGCTTTAGATGAAAAGTCAGAATTATGCATATAATATGAAGAATGTCTTTGTAAATCAACAAAATAATTGAAAGAACAAAGAGCATAATTATAATTTTTATAAAATCAACTTAAACTTATTAGGAAATAATAATTTAATTAGAAGAATCTTAAAGAATATATTTAAATGTTAGAAAGTGATTATTTAGTTTCAAAATAATTATTATGTGAAAAGGCTGACAAATATTAAGAATAAGTAATATTATTAAGTTAAGAAAATTATGATCTTAAATAAAAAATAAAGTGTTTCTAATCTAGATTACATAAAAAACTTAACTGAAATATATATATATATTATAATATTTAATATATATTATCATCTTTTCATTATTTTTATATTAACTTTATTATTGTTTCATTTATATTATCAAATACTAGTAGATACAATAAGATAACTTATTCCAGAAAATTATTATTAATAACTTATTATATAATAATTGATCAATGTAAATAATGAGATATTTAATAATAAATAATAATGAAAGGATTTATGAATCCAATATTTCATCCTGTTAATGATGAAATCACAGTTGAAGAGAGAAGAACTTTTTAAATGCCTTTATCTAATTTTAATTAGAATATAGAATTGCCAAAAGAATATGAAAGAATATTTTCATCAATCACAGACTCATCTTAACAGCTTAATGATAGCTTATTATAACCATTTGATAATTCAAAATATGAATAAACTCTTTTATTTTAGAATAATAATTGTCTATAGATTAATCATCATATCTCATAAAAGAATTAGCGACCAATCGTTAAATTTGACAAGAATCGCTTATAATAAATTCTATAAATTCTTGCTAATTATCATTAATGTAAATAGAAACCATAGAACGAATAAATAATAAATCAAAATAATAATTCAAAGAATATTAAGGTATCTTCTGACACAAAATAAATTCAATTCAACAAAATGAAAAATGTAATCAAAAACGATTCAACTCCAAAAAACCAACCTCAATCTATGTAAAATGAAAATGATATTAAGTCTCATAAGTAAAGATCTTCTACTAATTATACTCCAAGAGTTGAAACTTCAGCCATTACTGTATGTCATTATAGTTCTAAAAATTTAGATGCAAATATTAACTAGAAATAAGATGATACAAATATTATTTAACTTTTATAAAAAAGAACAAAATCTCAATATCACCCTAAATAATTGATAAAATCTTAAATCGATGATATTAATAAGAAAATCATACAATTTAAAAATCTCATCTTAAAATCTATTAAATATGATCCTTTATATGAATCTATTCAAATGTCAATAGATAAAATTATTTAATAAAATGAAGATAGTAATCTCTTACAAAAAGAAGTTGTTTATCTTAAGGATTTTACAAATTCAAAATCATTTAAAGAATCAAAATATTATATTTACTTTAATGTTTAAAAATTAATATCATTAGCTAAAGAGAAGTAAAAAAAGTTATAAATAATAATGATATTCAATAAAGAAGGTTTTTCAAATGATTGTCATCAAAGTCCAAAAACAAATTGTATATTATCTAGATAAACAACATCAGATAATATAATAGAAGAGGTATAAGATGATAAAAAAAGATTTTTTCAATTAGTTGTAAACAGAAAACTTGAATTGCCATTTAATCATCCAAGCAAAGAATTATTACTTAATGAATTATATGAAAAAGCAATAAAAATAGGTATAAAGAAATGTGATTGGTAATAATTTATCATTAATGAATTGAAATTTTGAATAAAATATTGATTTATCAAAATTATTCTTACATTTTTTAATTAATGTAGATAATTTTATTTAGAATTAGATTGTTTTATAAGTTTAATAATTCTCACTATTTTTCTTTAAAATATTTAATCAATAGTTTTTTAATATTATGTAATCTTATCTTTAAAAATAGAGATCATTTATTATTATTATTAAATTTAGTTTATAAAAATGTTATAAGAAGAAGAAGTTGAATTGATGTTAGAATAAGGAGGAATTCCAATATCATAATTATGCAATTCAAGTGTTAATATTGATTTACTTTAATGCCCAATTTGTTTTAATATACTCTGGAAACCAATTGCATGTGGGTAAGATAGATGTTTCTCATCATTTTGTTAATACTGTATTGAGTCATGGCTTAATTAGAAAAAGTATATATCTTTAAAAATGGTTAGTGCATAATCTACTTTTGAAGAAGAAGAAGAAACATTTGCAAATGAAAGTAATTGTCCAAAGTGTAAAAGACTGTTTATTAAGACTGAAATACCTTTGGTTAAAGTATTATTGTCTTAAATTGAATTGAAATGTGTTCATTCAGGTATGTAAATATATATAAAAGATTGCACTTAGGTGATACCATATGAAGAATATGAAAACCATATTGTTAATTGTAAGGAAAGAAAAAAATAATGCAGAGGTTGTTAATAATACATTTTATAAAATAAACTAGAGGAACATGAGTCATAATGCTCTTAGATTCCTGTTGAATGTTAGAAATGTCATAAGAGGATGCCAAAATGTGATCTTGAATCTAAACATGATAAATATGTAATAAATTTAATGATTAGCAGAATTGTATAGAAAACTTATTTAAGATTTAAGATTAGTAATTAGAGAATTTATATACTTAATATTTAATGTGTGATGATATGGTTAATTATTATGAAGAGAAGATTGCTAGAATGATGAAAGGAGATCTTATAATATTAAATGAATATAACTTTTTTACCATTTTTACAGCTAATTATTAATTCACAACTGATAATTTATATATTGCAAGACTTGTAAGGTAAAAAATTTAATTAAAATATTAGAAATTCATACAATCACAATAAATAAAAAAATGATTTCCTTCATTTTTATGTAGATTATCATTTTACAACAGGTTTAGAAGGTTATGAATGGAAAAGTAGAGTAATTAGATTAAGAGGTAATTTACTAATTGGTGTTTGTTCATCTTAATTATCAAATTCAGTTGATTTTATAGTTAATAGATTAGGAGAAGTAAAAAAAAAGGAGGAAAATGATAATAGATATCATATTATTAGAAAAGTTAATTTTACCTTTGGAGAAGGTGATGTTATCAGATTTCAAATTCTTCCCTTCATGTAATGCTTAAGAATCACAAATGAAACAAGACATTTGACATTTTGTTTCAATAGAAATGAATTATAAGAAATGGGAGATTAATATTTCAGTTTCTTCAGTCTTGAGTATTAAGGAGATGCTCTTCAATTTTTATGATATTAATTTTTATGTAATAACATTGTAATTTGATTCTCAACGAACGAGGAACTCTATGGTTAGGGGACTACGAATCTGCTCTCAATTTAGTATTATGATTATTTATCTCTAAGGAGTTCCTTAAAAGTAAAGGAATTAGGACAGTCATAACAGTGGCTGCAGGATTGAACTTAAAATATGAAGGAATAGTCCATCACAAAATTGAAATATTAGATATAGAATTAACCAATATTTCTTAATATTTTCAAACAGCCAATGATTGGATAGAAAGAGGATTTAATATAGGAGGTGTATTAGGTAGCATCAATCTATTATAAGAAGTTAAGTTCATTGCATGGCAGGTGTCTCCCGATCTGCAGCTATAGTAATTGCTTATTTGATAGAGAAGAAAAAAATGACCTATTATTAGGCCTTTACTTTTGTTAAATCTAAACGACCTTAAATAAATCCTAATAAAGGTTTTACAAATTAATTAATGTCTTACGCTACAAGAAATTCATAGCCTCCCATCCCAAAATCTTCTAGGGCCAACCATTTTCAGTAGACATAAGACTAGTTTGAGAATAATTTTTATGCACCAGTTCATCGAAAAAGTTCAGCTGGGGTTATTTAATAAAATCCTAATTTCTATAAATCTATTACTAAGTCGATGTCGTAAAGTAAAAGCAAAAACAAATGAATTTCTATGAATATATATATAACATTCGAGAAAACTGAATTTAATTAATTTTTCTTAATTATTCTAAATCTCTATAGTTAAATAAAAAGGATCTATTTATTACTAAATTACTCATATACTATAGGTTGTGTTAGAACTCTATTTAAGAAAATCTTGATGAAGTTTAGAAACAAAAGATTTTTGTATTTTAAATCTATGTTAACAAAAGATAGTTATATAAGAATATTATATTATAAATTTATTTATTATCAAAAATTTATTATTATTGATTAAAAATGAATAATGAACTTTTTGATATTTAAATGCAATAAATATTAAGAAAGTAAATAAAAATGAATTGGAATTATATTAATTAAGCATTCAATTAAAATAAGAAATAATTTATAATTTTTTCTCCTCATATCTGGGAGCTTAATTAGAGTAAGTTTAATTAATTATATGGTATAGATTTATTTTAAATAATAATTTATTCTTACTTTGTGTAAATATCTAATTGGAGAATCATTGCACTTAGTGTTTCCTCAAGAAATTGATTGTCTTTCTAATGATTAATTTAAAAATTCTAACTTTATAATAATATTAATTTCCACATCTTGTAAATGTGATAGTCTTACATAATACTTAGATATTGAATAATATCTTCTTATTTTTATTATTTTTTCGTTTTAGGATTTAGAGAATTCTTATTATTGAATTATTCAAAACAAACATAATGTTATTTTTCAACAAGAATACATAATTTCGAACCAAGTCTATATATTTTAAATGAATAAAAATTAGAAACTATTTTCAAATAGATATTAAGTTATATTGGAGATTTATTTTAAAAAAAAAAAGATGAATTCAGTGTTTTAGTCATAGTTAATCAAATTGCTCTGAATTAGTTCTTACTAATCCAATTTAAAAATCAGTCAAATCATCAATTCTTTTTTAGTCATTTACTAATTCTTAAGATGTACCAATCTAATTTATGTAACCATGATCAAGATTTGTCATTCTTATTACATCTTAAGGGACATAATGTACATGGTTTTCCCAATAATTCCAACTATTCTTTAAAGAGCTTTATTCCCTTTCTTCTTAGATTGGTATCATTAATTGATCCTAATATCTCGAATTCTATCTTAAAATAGTTATCTAAGATGTTTATAATATGTTTTCATTAATTCTTGTTTCTATGATATCACAATCATCAAAACTTTTATTTGATTTTTTTTATTGTGTTGTATGCAACCAAGGATGTAAAACAAATCCTTATTATGATAATAAAATACATACCTTCAGCAGATAGTCTTTTATTTGGATCTTTTTCCAATAGTCTTTTAAGTAAATCCTAAATTAATGGATTTAATTGACTTAGAAATGTAGAGTTTAATTTTGAATCAGTAATCATTTCAATTGTATCTAATATTGTTTCTGATTGAAAAGGCAATTATCCAAATAATAATTGATATAATATTATGCCAGCTGACCAAATATCAACTATAATATAAGTTTTATAATAATACTTTTCTCATCATATCCACCTCCCATAAATATTTCTGGTGCTTAATAAAATAATGAGCCAGTCCTTGTCCACATATCAATTTTTTTTGTTACTTTTCCTTTTACTAAAAATCTTTTGGAAACACCAAAATCAATTAATTTAATTGAAAATTAATCACTTATTAGAATATTATCAGGTTTTAAATCTCTATGACAAATTCCTCTTTAATGCAAAGAAAACAAAGATTAAGCCAAATTTAATGTGATTTATTAGATGTCTTCTTCACAAAAGGATCCTATTCTTTATTCTAGACTAGGAAATGGACAATATTCCATTACAAGATGATGCTCCTCTTTTTTTGAATTTATAAACAAATCAAGAACTTTAACAACACAATTAAGATCGTTTAGTCCACGATGTAAGTGAAATGTCTCTCTTATTGTGTTAATTACTTCTGTATCACCAGTTCTAAACACTTTAACAGCGTAAGTAACTCTGTCAAAAGCTCCATTATTGTTATTTGGATCTCTTCTATAACATTTTTTAACAATTCCATGAGCTCCCTCACCTAATCATAAATATTGATTTTACCTATTTATTCATCACTATATTCATAAACATCACTAAAATGTCTAAATTATTAATTAATAGCTCTAGGTTAATTGTTGGGAATAGAAGGGGATGAATTTTATCGACCTTATTTCGGACATGCATTTCTTCTCTTATCATTAAAAAGTGCTTTCTTTAATGAAGCTCTTATTGCCTTTTAATTCTGCCGATTCATCCAGAAAATATAATAAAATTATTTTTTCTTAATCAATTAATATTAACAAGTATTGTTAGGTTGAAAATTAATGGTACCAATTAAATATATAATTCTTAAAATTCTTATATATATACTTCTATATAAAATTGTTTATTTTAGGTTTAATTCTTAAAATAGTTTCTATATAAATTCTACACATATAAATAAATAATTAGAAAGAATTCTAATAAATAGATTAATTATAAAAAATATTTAATAATTCAAAGATGGATTGAGTTTTGATCCATTGAAATTCTATAAATGATTAAGAATAACTCACATCATATAAAAAATTCATATGATATTTAATTTTATGTATAAGGGAACTTCTATTGTATTTTTTTTTCTCATTAGGTATAGTTATAAGTATATATTACAATTCATTTTAAATAATTTTTTTAAATATAAAATATTATGAATTAGCAAAAACAACCTTTAGACCCTAAAGACTCCATTTTAAATATTTCATTAAAGAAATCTTCAGGTCAATTTATTTTCTTATCTAAAATATTCTTGAATAAATTTGAAAAAGTTGAATTACATGGTTTGGGTGAAGCAACAAAGACAGTAGCTGCAGTTGCTGAATCTCTTTCAAGAAATGTAAAAATATAGTCTCTATTTTAGTAATATGCAACAATAAAGAAGATAGAGACCTAAACTTATACTCCTGAACAAGGTGGAAAAAAAATAAAATTGATTGCCATATTAGAAATAACTGAGGAAGGAAAAAAAAAGATTGTTTTAGAGTTGTAAAGAAAAAAGCCTGAGGAAGGAAAAAAGAATAATTAACAAGAGGTGTAAAAATAAGCAGAAAATTAACCATAATGAGATTGGTGAATGTGAAAGCATATATTTTAATAGAAAGAGAAAAAGTGTATTATTATTTGATGAATGCGGTTTTCCAATATTAATTTTTTTAAATATCAAAAGTCTTTTTCCCATCCTTAATCTCCTTAATTATTACCATCCATTTATCTTACAGATTGCTCTTACTTGAGTAGATATAATACTTACTTTAATTTCATCCTCAATCATTCTACCATTTTATTCAAGTGATTTTATTTCTATTTCTGGTAGTAATTTGTCTGCTGGTGGAAGATATGGTGTTTTTATCTCTTTTTCCAATAATTTTTCCTATTTTTTTATAAATTTAATAAATACCCAATCAAAATTTTCAAACCAAGGATTACCCTTAAGACTTGCATAAGATCCTCCTAATCTCACTTCAGGAACTCGAGATAATAATCTAAAAAATATATTAATTCAATTTTACTAATCCATAAGTTTCTTGGCTTTTTTATCTTTTAAATAATTAGGATAAGTTATATCCTTCTTGATAATTTCTTCATAAATTTCATAAGGATCTTCAGCTTCTTCTCCAAAAGGAACCATACCACACATAAATTCATAGAGACATATACCAATAGACCATAAATCAACTAAACAATTATATCCTTTGCCACATATTATTTCTGGTGCCATATCTAATAAATTCTTTATGATATAAAAATACAATGTGGAGTTCCTATAATTGTATATGTACGAATAATTCCTTATTTTCCTTTAATTATTTTTGCAGTTCCTAAATCTATTAACTTTAGGNATAGTTATAAGTATATATTACAATTCATTTTAAATAATTTTTTTAAATATAAAATATTATGAATTAGCAAAAACAACCTTTAGACCCTAAAGACTCCATTTTAAATATTTCATTAAAGAAATCTTCAGGTCAATTTATTTTCTTATCTAAAATATTCTTGAATAAATTTGAAAAAGTTGAATTACATGGTTTGGGTGAAGCAACAAAGACAGTAGCTGCAGTTGCTGAATCTCTTTCAAGAAATGTAAAAATATAGTCTCTATTTTAGTAATATGCAACAATAAAGAAGATAGAGACCTAAACTTATACTCCTGAACAAGGTGGAAAAAAAATAAAATTGATTGCCATATTAGAAATAACTGAGGAAGGAAAAAAAAAGATTGTTTTAGAGTTGTAAAGAAAAAAGCCTGAGGAAGGAAAAAAGAATAATTAACAAGAGGTGTAAAAATAAGCAGAAAATTAACCATAATGAGATTGGTGAATGTGAAAGCATATATTTTAATAGAAAGAGAAAAAGTGTATTATTATTTGATGAATGCGGTTTTCCAATATTAATTTTTTTAAATATCAAAAGTCTTTTTCCCATCCTTAATCTCCTTAATTATTACCATCCATTTATCTTACAGATTGCTCTTACTTGAGTAGATATAATACTTACTTTAATTTCATCCTCAATCATTCTACCATTTTATTCAAGTGATTTTATTTCTATTTCTGGTAGTAATTTGTCTGCTGGTGGAAGATATGGTGTTTTTATCTCTTTTTCCAATAATTTTTCCTATTTTTTTATAAATTTAATAAATACCCAATCAAAATTTTCAAACCAAGGATTACCCTTAAGACTTGCATAAGATCCTCCTAATCTCACTTCAGGAACTCGAGATAATAATCTAAAAAATATATTAATTCAATTTTACTAATCCATAAGTTTCTTGGCTTTTTTATCTTTTAAATAATTAGGATAAGTTATATCCTTCTTGATAATTTCTTCATAAATTTCATAAGGATCTTCAGCTTCTTCTCCAAAAGGAACCATACCACACATAAATTCATAGAGACATATACCAATAGACCATAAATCAACTAAACAATTATATCCTTTGCCACATATTATTTCTGGTGCCATATCTAATAAATTCTTTATGATATAAAAATACAATGTGGAGTTCCTATAATTGTATATGTACGAATAATTCCTTATTTTCCTTTAATTATTTTTGCAGTTCCTAAATCTATTAACTTTAGGAATCCTTTTTCATCAACCATGAAATTTTCAGGTTTAATATCTCTATAAATTATATTTTAATGATGTAAATATTCTGTAATTAGAATCATAGAGGCAACATAAAATTGAGAATCATATGTTGATAAAAGACCTAAAGATAATATTTATGAAATACCTATATCTCTAATAACATCAAATAATTCCATTCCTCTTACATATTCAAGAAGGAAATAAACATCCAAAGTGTCTTTAAATGTTTTCATAAATGAAATGATAAATGGAAAATTTACAATTTCTAATACTTACTTCTCTTATTACAAATATCTAAAAATTATGAATTAAAAATACTTTTCAAGAGTTTATTCATTAATTTAATTTTTGTTAAATGCTTTTAAAACATATAATTATTAATTATATTTAGCTTTAACTAAATAAACTGGACCAAATTAACCATAAGCAATTGTTTTAATATGAATTAACTCTGATTTCTTAATATTTTGAGCTTCTTTCTTTTTAGTTTGATCTGATTTTTATAATTTCTTTTCAAGAATTTTCTCATTTTTTTTAATAACTTCTTCTAACTCTCCTCCAATACAATCAATAAAATTATCAGCAGTAATTTCTGCAATTACACCATCAGTTTCCATTACAATATCATCATCCAAACTAAATATTTTTATAATTTATAATACATTTTAGCCTTATTAGTTTATAAGAAATATTCTTCTCCCCAAGCTTAAGCTTTAGTTGCAACTGTAATTCCAGATTTACTCTTTTTCAAACTACCTTCAATTATAACAATAATCTTTTAATTGGCTTATGTTCCTTTTTTTAGAATCACATCCCCAGCTTTACATGATGATATTTTCATCACATCTAGCACTTTGTCAATTTAAGCCTTTGTTAATTTGCTTAATAAGGCATTTTTCTCAAAGGCCCATTTTTACAAATTTCTAAATGTAACAACATGAACTTAATCTCCTAAAATTTTAGTTAAAGAATCTCTTCCTAATGCTAAACATTTCACATCATCCTCTGCTCTAACAGTCATTTATCTTACTGTATTATAATATAAGGCTTATTCACCAAAAGAATCTCCTTTATATAATTTTCTAACTTCTTTATTTCCTTTAAGAACAGAAACAGTTCCCTAAAAATAATAAAAAATAAATATACTTCTTTTATTATATAAAATGAAGATCCAGGATCACCTTCATTTACAATAATTTAATTTTTATAAAATTTCTATACAATTAAAACTGCAGCAATTGCATCTTTTTATTCATTTGTTAAATTATCTAAATTTATTATAAAGAACTTACGAAAAAATCTAACTACTTCCATAAATTTTCTATTTTCTTCATACTCTTTTGTTATCATTTCCTCAACAGCTCTTCTGAAAGTATTTCTATCAATTCCCCATAAATTACAATTCTCAAAACATTTCACTGATGCAGAACGAGGAGCATTATACAATAGAGCCAATTCTCCAAAACCATCTCCAGTTTTTAATTCTCTTTTTGCCTTAAAATTTTGAATTGAGAAATAATACTTTTTCATTAACAATAACTTCTAAACTTCCTCTTTATAAAATAAAAAAGCAAGTTGCATGATCTTATTATTTGAATATATAAGTTTATGCAGCTGCTTCACAATAGAACATTTTATTTACAATATTCTCACTATAAATAATATGATAATTATTATACAGCTCAGCTTCACTCAAATTGTAAAAAACAAAATGATTTTTTAAGCAAGTCAAAATGAAAGTAGTATCATTTAATGTTTTTTTCATATCAATTTTTTTAACATTTTCATGGATTACTTCACCACCTTCATTAATATTGTGCTTGAAATTATTTAATTTATCCTTAAAGATGATAAAATTAATACTGCTTCATCACCTGATCGTTAATCTTCATTGTCGTCACCATGAATTTAATTCTCAGAATTGTTTTATGACCTGGGATCCATATTTAATAAATTAATATATAAATAAACAATCTTTTTACTCTTAAATACTAACACTTGGTTACATACTTATAATCTTAAATTGATTCTTATTCTTTTATATGATTAAAATATTATCAAATTAATTGTATACGTCATTGTTCTAATTGAATATAAATTCACATACTTAAAGTAAAAATTGACTGTTATATATTCTCTTCATTCATTCAATTATGATATATCATTATAAATATTAAATAAATTTTGGAATCTTTATGGTTTATATATTTGAAATTTCACAACCTTCTAGAGTTTAAATCCTTCAATTAAGTTTCTTCTTATCTTCAGTATAATCTAGATATTTTGATTTTCATTCTTTATTTTAAAAAATAGAAAATAAATGTATTAATTTTAATATTTGATAAGAAATAATCTATTTTATTTGGTTAGACAATTTAATATACCTAATCATAGATAGAAATTGAAATTATATTCTATTTATATATATATTCTTTATTAAATAAATTTAGAGTAAAATTAGAGCAAAGATATAATCAACGATTGAAAAGACACTATTAATTTTCAATTTATGATTTCCAATAAAATTATGAACCATTAAAATTAATAATGAGTAGGCTAAATAATCTAAATGAGTGTCAAAAATTAATTTAGACAATTTGAGTTAATCAAATAAATCGATGTTTTAATTAGAAAAAGTATAAAAAAAAATGATTTTATAACAATTTTAGGTAATAAGATATTGGAAGATTCATATATGGGATATATTTATAGTTTAAACGTTTATTCTAAAAATCTAATTATTCTAGTTATTTTATCAATGATTAAGAAGGTTAGAGTATTCTAATTTTGTAATTACATAGTTCTGTAATAATTGAATTATAAAAATAATAAAATACAATGGCAACATTATTTTAATGTGATGGTGCAAACTGCATTGAAGCTTTTCTTGAAGTGGCCATCTCCACTACAGCTTCGATAATGGCAATAAATGGATTCCGAATAATATTTAGAGATCGTAATAAATTGCTATCGAAATTGAATAAAATTATTTATGGCATATCTATGAGTTAATTAATATTGCTTAGTACTTATTTTATCTTTTGGGGTAAGTTTTCAATAAAACTGTAGGATCTGATTTTGTTATTTCAACAATTAGATGTCTTAGGATTTTGAATGAAATTTTATTATGTTCCTTATTAGCAGAAATAGGATTTGAGAAAGACTTTTTAGAGAAATTAGAAATATTTTTAAAGGTCTTAAGTGGATTTGTATTTGTAGAATGGTTTTGGACAGCAATTATTTCAAATGAAGAATATGAGTAATTTATTAGATAAATATTAAGCTATTATTGTTTGAAAATGGATTTGGTTTATTTATCTGGAACTACAGTAATATTAACTCTGTTAGCTTGTGGTTTTGGATTTTATGCACTTGATTAATTATACATATCAAAATAAGAATTAAAACCAACTGATTAGAATAAGATGGATGAACAAGCCTTAGAAATAAAAATATTTTTGGGTTGTGATTTATTATCTGGTCTTATTTAATTTGGATGGGATTATTGGGCTAATATGAGTGCATATACTATTGCTGATTGTAAATCATATTATGAAGCTTATTCCATTACTAGCGTATTAATTAATGTTAATAATTAGATATTTGTTATATTTATTATGAAAGTATTAACGTTAATGATATCTCCAATGGCTATTTATTATATTTTATATTATAAATAGAGATTATAATTTAATTATAGAGCTGCTAATGTTTTGGATATAAATGTTTTAATAGATAGAAGAAGTGAATTAGTTGTTGAATTAACAAATGCT